TATATACACTGAGATATACACCTCTCAATGTATATACACTGAGATATACACCTCACAGTATATATACACTGAGATATACACCTCTCAATGTATATACACTGAGATATACACCTCACAGTATATATACACTGAGATATACACCTCTCATTTTATGTACACTGAGATATACACCTCTCAATGTATATACACTGAGATATACACCTCACAGTATATATACACTGAGATATACACCTCTCATTTTATATACACTGAGATATACACCTCTCATTTTATATACACTGAGATATACACGTCTCAGTGTATATACACTGAGGGACCTGGGTGAAGTTTCAGTACTTGGGGGTTTCTGGGGTATTCTGGAGGTTCTGAGAGGTTGGGTTGGCCAGATAGTTTGCTAGGTGAGAGGAAACAGCCAGACGCAGCATCCGGTGCGTGTCCGGCCATGCCTGAGTGCGTAGCCACTCCCCGTGTCCTGACATCCTCTTCCACCCTGTGTCCTCCCTTCTCCCCCGTGTCCTTCCTTACCCTGTGTCCTCCCTCACCCCCCGTGTCCTTCCTTACCCTGTGTCCTCCCTTACCCTATGTCCTGACATCCTTCACCTGTGTCCCTGTGTCCTCCCTTACCCTGTGTCCTGACATCCTTCACCTGTGTCCCTGTGTCCTCCCTTACCCTGTGTCCTGACATCCTTCACCTGTGTCCCTGTGTCCTCCCTTACCCTGTGTCCTGACATCCTTCACCTGTGTCCCTGTGTCCTCCCTTACCCTGTGTCCTGACATCCTTCACCTGTGTCCCTGTGTCCTAAGACTCTCTTTCTATGCCGTCGTTTGCACACACAACTTAACTACACACCTAACAGCCACAGTAATCAGGTATCCCCAAGGCTAAGGAGTAATTAGATACCGCTTCGGGTACCTGATTACAACACACACCTGTCCTCCGAGTCCCTGAGGTCTTGAGCCGACCTACTTACCCCAAAAACAGGTCCCAAAAGCAGATCCCCTTCCTGCACCTACTACCAGAGGCCATTAGGTCGCCCATGGATGACCTACCGTAGCACCTACGTAGGTAATTAGCAAAAATTGAAGAATATTAAGTGTTGTTGCAGGATTGCAACAGAGTTGACTTGCAACTCGACTGGTCCACGGACCTGGTTTCATGTGATATGTTTAAGTCCAAGGTTATGCACACTGACGGATGTATATTCCTCTGTGTGTGTGTGTATATATACACTGTGAGGTGTAAATTTCAGTGTATATACACTGAGAGGTGTATATCTCAGTGTATATTTCAGTGTATATACCCTGAGAGATGTATAATTCAGTGTATATACACTGAGATAGACCCACCATTGCAATTTATATACAGTCTATCTTACCTGCAGTTGATAGATCATCAGACGTGAGTTGCAGGGATTGATGAATTGATTCGCATATTGCAAGGAATTGATGACTAATTGGGTGGGAAATTAATGATTTTTATTTCTGGAAATTGATGATTTATCTCCGGAAATAATTTCCGGATGACCTTGGCGACGCGTCCCTTTGGATAGACGTAAATCTATCCGATAGATTACTATCCAGTGGGAAGTGTTTGACAATAGATCGCAGTAAGACCCAAAAATGGTCCTGTTTACTGTTGTTGCTTCAACAGGGGCATCCGTTTATGCACCCGTTGTGTGGGATCCACTCTCCGAGGTTCAGTGGACCGCGAATTGGACCATACAACGCAATAAGAGAAACAGAATAGGAACCAAGCACTGGATAGGGAAACACCGGGACGCCAGGAGACTCGGACAGTCCACCAAAGGCTTTAGAGAGTCCAGTTGGGTCTGGAAGAGTACACAGTGCAGTCCACAGGTCCAACAAATGCTTCTGAAAGACCAGTTGGGTCCAGAAAAGCAAACACTGTGGTCCAGAGGTCCACCAAAGGCTTCTGGAAGACCAATTGGGTCCAGGAAGACTACGCAGTGCGATCCAAAGGTCTACCAGAGGCTTCTGAAAGGCCCAATTGAGTTCACAAGAGTACACAGTGCGGTCCACAGGTCTACCAAAGGCCTCTGAAAGACCAGTTGGGTCCAGAAGAGTAAACACTGCGGTCCAGAAGTCCACCAAAGGCCTCTGGAAGGCCAACTGGATCCAGGAAGACTACACAGTTCGATCCACAGGACTACCAGAGGCTTCTGCAAGGCCCAATTGAGTCCAGATAAGGGCACAGGGCGGTCCACAGGTCCACACAGTGGTCCATACGGGTCCACTACCCACCTTCAAGGCTAGAGCCACACTGGATCCTCAACTATCCACAACCCTGGCCAACCCTATCCACTCCTACCAAAATATCCCACAATATTACGTGTTGTTCCAAAAGTTAGTGTCTCTCTCACTCTCTCTCTCTCACATATATATTCCAGATAATTTATATATATAAATAGGTCTGTACAGGATGTATTTCCATATAAATTTATATATATTTTTATTTCGTTCGTGTTCATAATAACGAGATATTTTCAAACTGATCAGAATTATGATCTTACGTTCATTTAGAACGAAGAAAAAAATCTCTCTCAGTGTATATACACTGAGAGGTGTATATCTCAGTGTATATACACTGAGAGGTGTATATCTCAGTGTATATACACTGAGAGGTGTATATCACAGTGTATATACACTGAGAGGTGTATATCTCAGTGTATATACACTGAGAGGTGTATATCACAGTGTATATACACTGAGAGGTGTATATCTCCCGTGTATATACACTGAGAGGTGTATATCACAGTGTATATACACTGAGAGGTGTATATCTCAGTGTATATACACTGAGAGGTGTATATCACAGTGATATACATGAGAGGTGTATATCTCCCGTGTATATACACAGAGAGGTGTTATATCTCAGTGTATATACACTGAGAGGTGTATATCACAGTGTATATACACTGAGAGGTGTATAACTCAGTGTATATACACTGAGAGGTGTATATCACAGTGTATATACACTGAGAGGTGTATATCTCAGTGTATATACACTGAGAGGTGTATATCTCAGTGTATAAACACTGAGAGGTGTATATCTCAGTGTATATTACACTGAGAGGTGTATATCTCAGTGTATATACACTGAGAGGTGTATATCTCAGTGTATATACACTGAGAGGTGTATATCTCAGTGTATATACACTGAGAGGTGTATATCTCAGTGTATATACACTGAGAGGTGTATATCTCAGTGTATATACACTGAGAGGTGTATATCTCAGTGTATATACACTGAGAGGTGTATATCTCAGTGTATATACACTGAGAGGTGTATATCTCATTTTATATACACTGAGAGGTGTATATCTCAGTGTAAAATACACTGAGAGGTGTATATCTCAGTGTATATACACTGAGGAGGTGTATATCTCAGTGTATATACACTGAGAGGTGTATATCTCAGTGTATATACACTGAGAGGTGTATATCTCAGTGTATATACACTGAGAGGTGTATATCTCAGTGTATATACAACTGAGAGGTGTATATCTCAGTGTATATACACTGAGAGGTGTATATCTCAGTGTATATACACTGAGAGGTGTATATCTCAGTGTATATACACTGAGAGGTGTATATCTCAGTGTATATACACTGGAGAGGTGTATATCTCAGTGTATATACACTGAGAGGTGTAATATCTCAGTGTATATACACTGAGAGGTGTATATCTCAGTGTATATACACTGAGAGGTGTATATCTCAGTGTATATACACTGAGAGGTGTATATCTCAGTGTATATACACTGAGAGGTGTATATCTCAGTGTATATACACTGAGAGGTGTATATCTCATTTGTAATACACTGAGAGGTGTATATTTTCAGTGTATATACACTGAGAGGTGTATATCTCAGTGTATATACACTGAGAGGTATATATCTCAGTGTAGTAGATAGACTTCAAATCTATTTCTCCCATTAACACACCATCCTTCACCTGAGTAAGGTGACTGGCCATGTAAATAGGTGCTCAGGTGAAGGGTACCTAATGACTCCAGTGTTTTCAGGGATAAATAGGTGCCTGTTGCTCCTGTTACCCTACCAGAGGCTCTTGATCCGAGGGAAATGGAGCAGCGTCTTGTAAATGAGTCTCAGGCTGTAAATTTAAATCTGTAAATCAAGGTAAGTAATAATCTTACTGTAAAAAATGATTATTTATTGATGTTTCCAGCCTAATGGGGATTTACAAGTCTTAATTTACAGTTCCAGGCTTGTGGGTTCCAGGCTTCTTGGTTCCAGGCTTCTTGTTCCACGCTTGTGGGTTCCAGGCTTGTGGGTTCCAGGCTTCTTGTTCCAGGCTTCTTGTTCCACGCTTGTGGTTCCCGGCTTCTTTTTCCAGCTT